AAGGCTGTTTAATTAGGTAATTAAAATCTCACATTAAGTGTGTTCCACAGTTGATTTGCAGGTATTTTAGAACACCTGCATACTTCCATTTTTTTTTTTTGTCTTCTATTGACATCAAAGCACAATCATAGGAAATACAGGACTTTAATTTTATTCAAAGTAAAGTATTTTGGAACGAAGTTTTATTACTGGCAGCCTTTACTGCAGGAATACAGCCAAACAGTAATTCAAATGAAAAAAATCACTCTATTGCTTTTGCATTCCAAGCCGCTGCTGGACAGGCACTACTTCTCGTAGCTTCCTGAACAAAGCACAGCTCAGTGCCGAGGCACCTATTTTTTCACCTAAGTGTCACTTAGGCTCTAAGACCAGACCAACCACTGTAATACTCCTTTACCTAAACTCCAGTGTGTGCATATTTTAGTTAGACGTAACCTAACACTCTTTATACTTCTTTTAAACAGGCCATCAGCACTGACAGCATCTGAAAACAAATTTCTAGCAATCACTAGCTTTGCACCAAGACCATGCACTCCACTGGGTTGCAGACATATTCAGACAGGACAGTTTCAACAACATGCAGCTTGGGGCAGAATACACGAAGAAACCCCAGGAAAATAGCCAAGCTTTATGCTGTGCTACTGAATCATCTGTGCTAGCTGTAATTAATTCACTTAGCTTGAAGCGGGTGCAGACAATTCCATGCTACATCAGCATCACAGCATGCAGATGTAATCTAACGTGCCAAAAATGCAAGTACATTTGGATCCCACTGGGTTTTGTTGCATTTTCCCATTTCATATTCGAACCACAGAGGATAATTCTCTGTCATTGATTCTCTTTGGAGAAAAGAGGCTGAACCACACTTCAGAAGGGTCTTACGATTCTTCAAAAAATATTATTGAACGTGTGTACCCGAAGACATAAACTCTGTAGACTTAAAGTGGAAGGTAACTCCTATCTGTTGATGTTTGTTAATTCTCCTGCTATTGAAATTAAATTTGGTGCCATTAATCTACGCTTTTCCCTTCCGTAATAAACACATAAGGTTCCAGCATTAACTGGCTCCCTTCCAAAAGGCTAATTCCTAGGTCTCTGTGCTCCTGCAGAATGTACTACACAATTGCAGCCTCTGGTGATCAGCAGCATCAGTACAACGTGGTCACCCCTCTAGAGGCCCACGCGATCTCTTCTGCATTCTCACATTTCTCTCTTGATGTTGTGACAAGGCACTTGCATTCCAGTTAGTCCTAATCTCAGCTTGCAATAAATAAGATGAATGGGGAGGGCAAGGTTTTGTGCAACTGCAGCTCACTGCACTACAATTAGGCTGCGCTGCGCCACGTCGGGCACTACCAGTGGCAGAGAGGCAGCCCCCCAGGGCCGGGAAGTTTTGTGCCCCAAAGAACCAGTCGGTGGGGAAAGCTTAACAGTCTGTCCTTGCTGCAAGTTCAGTACACAGTTCCGTGCATCTGAGTGCGGTGAATGACCCTATTTAAATACAAAGTTCCATATACATGAACTAAAACATAAAATATAACCAGATTATGTTAATAATCATATTTCGTGCCAGCCACCAAACTCACAGACAAAATGTATCAGGTACTTTTCTCTAAGAGGGTATTTTCACGTCTAAAAGAGCAAAATGTCCACTTGTTCTTCAGCCGAACATCTCCAAAGTCACCGTCCAACAACTGCACTGGAGGCACTGCTGGATGCCAAGAGGATCCTGCACAGGGCTCTCTGCACTGGGCCCCTTGGCACACTCTGGCATTTGCTGGGTATTTCACAAGCAGCATCACCCCAAAGGTACCTGTGCCAGCCTGCAACCCTGGGGATCCCCAGGCTCCTAAGCACAAAGGGCATCAGCAGGAGGAGCAAAGCTCTAGCAGCTGTTTTGCATAATCTTTCTGCAGTCTCTGCAAGGCCACCAGAGGTTTGGGATGTGTGAATGGAAGGAGAAGATCTAGCAGCTTTGCAAGTCCAAATAATTAACCAAAAAAAAAAAAAAGAACAATTGAGCAGAACAATAACAGACGGAAGCCAACGAGCACTGAACTGAGAAATGGGAGGAACATCACACTGCCAGAGTGAAGGAAAAAGCACCGACTGTAACCAGACAACAGAGCAGCTGAAGTGTGATGTGGGGAAGTATTGAGTATTGTGCAGCGCAATCTTCAGAGACTGCATCCCCGTCTAATTAGGATATGAAATGCAGAAGCAACATGAAAAGCAGTGACCAACGTCAGTCACTAAACCACAAGGTTATTTCATCTAGGAAAGAGTCAGAAGAAATAATGTACTTTTGAAAATACCAAAAGCAAATTTGTATTAGTATCTGGTGCTCTTCCTATACAGTGAAAAACTTATTCTGAGACTGCCATTAACTGCACGTGGGAAACAAAAATGATGGTATATGGCATTTTTCAGACCACCCCTTGGTCACAATTAAAAGCACAATTTCACAGACTTGAGCCAAAAAACTTTGTCCTTCAATTGTTTCAGCAATTTTACAGTTATAAACCTATTTGGAACGCACGAGCACCACTCCCAGTGAGCCCATGGCAGATCAGTGTCTCTCTCAGGAGAATTCCCATTTGCCTGCGCGCAGCGGCTGAGCCCCGCGACGCAGCCGGCTGGAGCCTCCTCCGCGGTGCGAAGGGCTGCGACCCAGCCTTGCCCGAGAACAAACACTCTGCCCAGATACTCACCATTCAGTGACAAAAACTCACAAAAAAGATGGATTTCATAAACATGACTATAAACCTGTAATTTTGCCGGTGAGCAGTGCAGAAACACCACAATTGCTGTAGAGTCTGCAAAGATGTTAAACACTCAAGTAAAGTATTAGTAAGGTATTCTGATACCTACATATATAGAAAAAAAATACATTTTTCCAGGTTAGGGGAAAGAAGCTGCATCTTTCACTCTGTGAAAAGCAAGAGATAGGCAGGTCTCGTTCGGTGCCCCCACCCAGGGCAATGTGTTGGTAACCCCCTGTATCAGAAACCCCCTGTGTCTTTTCCAGAATCTCACATTTATTCCACTATTCTTAATCTGTGCTTTTCAGAATTATTACTTGATCTAGAGGGCCTAATCTTGTTCAGCACTGACCTCTTCCTGCACAGTTTGGAGTGTGTTCAGCTCTGATTGGAACCTGGATACTCAGCACATTATACAGGCAGATTCATAAAGCAGTTTTTCAATGGGCTTTGTTTGAAATATAACTGCTAAACGGAAATGCAATTATAATGAGAAAAACACACTATTTGTCCTTGTCATGTAGCTCTTTACGAGTTTGTTCTTCCCACAACTGCCAGATTCCTGCGATTTTTGTGTTTTCCTCTCTCCGACGCTTTCGCGGCGATGCCAGGTTCCCCCGGAGCCGCTGCGTCCTGTGCAGCTGCACCTCTGTACACATGTGAACACTTGCCACTTCCTCAAAGAACTACAGTTAGGATTCAGCACACGGAAAGGAGGTTATTTATTTAAATACACACTTCTTTATAGAGGACAATAAAATCTTTAGATAAAAAGCCACATACCTTAAAAGCATTATTGCAAAAGGAAATGCTAGCTATTGATTCAAGCAAAACACGGCATCTCCTTTCCTTTCCTCAAAGGTGGCCATTCTGGGTGCCATTCCCCACAAGCACAAAGGCATATCAAACTTGTACCAATATTTAGATAATGCTTAAAAAAAACCCCACTGAACTATTGATATCTTTAAGGAACTGAAATCTGCAGGAAGACGACCAGCAGCCTTCCAGCACTGCAGTGACATCAGCCAGGCCAAACAACCCCCTGTCCTACTGGTGGCTGAATTTCCGAGTTTAACTGAGGAACAGTTAACAGGAACCACTGTCAAGCTGCACAAATGCAGATGTGGACAGTTCAACTCCGACAGCCTCTCAGTGCAGCTGCAGGCAGTTCCCCACTTAAATCTCCTGCTGGTCACGGAGGTGGCACCACTAATTGTCAAGGGTTCCCCAGCGAGAGAGTCATTGCTCATCCTGTCAGCATGACAGCGACCTGTCAGTTCTCCCTGGAAGCAGTGGAGTCCAAAGGTTTCTCAGGGCTAGCTGAACCTTACAAGAAAAGCAGCCAGAAGCAAAGGAACCAGGAGAACCCTGGGGACAGCAGTGACCACAGGGTGCACTGGGTGCTGGGGCAGCACGCAGACGTCCTTAGTAGAAGCAGTATGTTACACACTACGGACAGTGGCACTGGCGGATACTGGACTGACATTCCTGGCGTCTTGCCCATGCCCAGAGCAGGATAGCAGGAATGCCAGGAAAAGCCTTGGGCACGCACAGGCTCTGTGCTAGCACAGCAGCCTCCAGCTCGTCCTGCTCAGGGTGCTCAGTGCCAGGCATGGGTCCCGAAGGCACTGCTGGCTCACCCAATACACGCGCCTACACACGGCAACACCAGAGGCAACTGAAGACATCTGGATTCAGCGTTCATTTCTCTCATTAGTCTGCAATGAGACTGATATAAGTTGCAAATAGAAACAAAAGTCACTCTGCTGAAACAAACTAATTTACTCACATTCTGTCTACAGACAGATAATTATTAAACATGTTTTTCCCAGCTCTGATACGTCATATCTTAATGTTGATTTCAGCACAGACCTCACCGCAACTTAGTAAGAGAGAAACTTTTCCATAATTAATTAGAAGGATACAATACATGAAAAGGATAGTTATAGTCCTCTCCCACATCAGAATTAGCTTAGAAATCTTCAAAACTAACCAAAGCTCAGAACTAGAGCACAAAATGGGCACCGTTCCACATTAGGACAACACGATTGAATTCCATTACACATTCTCATTCTTGCATCTGCCTGAACATCTGCATTTTGTGGGGATTTCAAATGAGATTTTCAGCTAGAAATAGAAAAAAGAAAAACAATATGTGTGAGGGAGGGTTCTAGTGTGATGCAAGAGAAAAAAGCACAGAATGATAATGTTTCCTGTAATACCATTTCAAAATGTTACCTCTCATTCCACGGTCACGCACGTTGTTTATCTTTGTGTAACGGGTTGGGGGATGCACAGCTCAGCTCCTCGGACAGCCAGGCTGATCCGACATTCTGAAAGGAAAGTCTGGTGTAACTCTAAGGTTAGAACTGTGTGATTAAAAGTAAATTATTCTTTGCTGCATATAGGTATCTCTTCGCCAAGAGGGTGAAGACCATGCGAGGGGGAGTGAGATACAAGCATATTTCACTTCTGCTTTGTTCAGTCATGATATATTTAGTTTTTTTGGACGATACTGAGCAATTTTTTCTATTTTTGACTTTTCAAACATGGGATAATGTCCCTAAAAGCAGAATTAAAACATCAAAACAACTTTTGTAGCCAAAGTTCAACCACTGGAATCAAGCGGCCCTTTCTAAAAGGCCCCTCTGTACATACCCTACTGCCAGAGAATAGGTTTTAGACTTGGTATCTTGGCATGCTGATACAGGAAACAATCAATTAGATCTCTGCATCCTGTCTAAATATATATAATGCCATTAAAAAACCAGAGAAGCGGGGCCAAGATGTCTTAAACCAAAGGAAAGGTTTCCTCTCATGAGACAGTTAGAGGCAGCCTTGAATTAACTGTAACAGAATGAAAGGCGCAGTGATATTTTTTAAAATGTGGAAATCCTTACTCCTTTTAACTTAGGAAACAAGGAGAGATGGGAAAAAAAAAAAAGAATGGTAGGAAACATCTGAAAGTTGTCATTGGGAATACTAAGGATTTTGCTTAAGGAACAGCAATCTCGCAGTCACTCTGCACTTGCTATGATGGAATCATTTGATTACCAGCTTAGGCCCTGAGCAAGTGACTCCTCCCCAGCACGTGGAGAGGGGATTCAGATGAACAGCTCATGTGCAAGCCTGCTGCTGCAGCCCACTGCAGCACAGCCAGCAGGCTGGGGAGGTACAACAAGACAAACACCAGCCTTTTTATTCTAGTTGTTTTGATTTTTCTCCTACATTGATATCCGGTGAGTGCCAGGTGGATGGAATGTTTATCTTTTCCTTTATTCATTGCCAAGGTTACCACAGCACAGAAAACAGGCACCTAATATTATGCAGAAGATTTTTTTTTAAAAAGGACATATTTATAAAACAAACATTTCTTTCTCACATAGTGTGCTAAAAAAGTCAGGCTCTGCTCTGTGTTCACAGAACTGCCCACTAAACTCCCAGCCCGCTACTAATTATTTAATGATTAATTAATTTTCATGGTCAAATCGTAAGATGAGGCTGAGCACCTCTGGCTGAGCAAGGAAAGGGTGAGATTTAGGTGTATTTCTTTGCTGGACACAACTAACTCGTAAATGAAATCCCCACACCACCAGTGAGATCTGAAGCTGGTATCTCCGAAAGCAGAACACTGTCAACAGGGCTGTGCACAAAACGCTCACACTGCTGGGACACCCGACTCTTCTAGGTGCCCATTTCCAGTTCACCATCATCATCCGACACTGAATGTGCAAAGTCATCTCCCCACTGAAAAGTCCTTCTCATGTGAGACAGCCAAGACAACTGCAACTACTGTCTGTAACGTCCTCCCTATCCTACAAAGCCCGATACATTTCCAGTGCAGAAGCTTCACTTCAAAGGACTGGGAAACAGGAACAACCCTGATAAATGACAAGTAGCAATCAAGCTAAAAGAACAGCTCAGATTAACTGGCTGGCTTAAACAAACTGTTGTTTCCACAGAAAACAAAAGAGATGGATAATAGCGACTTTCACATTGTCCTGTATTAAGCTGTTGACTGGAAAATACAGAACCCCCATGTGAGTAGCAGTGTAAAAAGCAGCACATGTTATTTATTAGTGAAAACTGCCTTAAGAAGCGGGGGAGCTTATGAGTCAGTGAGTCTCAGTGGCCCATTGTTAGCTGCTTCTACAGCCAAATGCATCCATTCTCTCCAGCTTAATATATTAACTAATTTATGGAGTAATATATTACACTGACATAATAAATACTGGGTAGATGGTTTCCCCTTATTGATTAAAAAATCACACTACTATAATGAACCAGGTATACACATTTTCAGCCAACACTACAATCACTGATTTTCATCTTATTGAATTCGATGCAATTGCTTAAGAGGAATGAGCAGAACTGACCTACAGTATGCCCAGTGCCAAGTGTCTCCAGCGATTTTACCACATATGTGTCTCGTATTTTGCTTAATGTAATGCAACAAACATGCATTTTGACATAGTATGAGATAAAATGCCCTCCTTCCTGCTCGGTTAAAGTATTTGTGTGCATTTTCCACAACAGGTATTTGATCAGATTTTTCTGTATAAGCAGATTTTTCCACAGCTGCTTTCCAGGAACAGATTTTCCTGTTGTTTAACACTGCATGATCAACTGGCAAGCTACAAAAGTAAAACACTAATCACAAAGACGAATAATGATTTAAAGAGACGCTAAAGAATATATGAAGCATTAAAAATGTTTTGATTTGGAAGAAACTAGGCTAAATACTGAACAGTTCCTGTGGGTTTCCAACAGCCAGGTTTTCTGAGGTAAGTGTTCCCAACACTCACGAGAGGTCAGAGAGAAAGGGCCATGAAAGTTCAGATTATGCCTTGATCCATTTTCAAAGCAGAAAGCCCCAAGCAAATGAGGAAAAGAAAAAAGGAAGCAATTTGCCTACCCCTTATGAGTGGTACTGACTCGCCTTGAAGTGGTTAAGATTAAAAAATCCTGTTCAGATCTTCGAAGCCTCATTCAGAGTCTGTCAATATTATACAGTCTTGCTACAGTCTGCCAACATTATAGGGCATTTTAAGAATAATTAGATTTGCCTATACAAGGTCAAAATGATCCTGGAGGAAAGATCCGCATTCTGTCCATGAGCAGTTTTACCAACCTCAACCAGGCTCTTCACATGCTTGAAGTTAACGTCACAACCGCTGGGAGCAACCAAAGCACCCAGCACCTTTCAGAACTGGTCTACAAAGCTCTTGCAGGTCTCTGAGGAGCCCAGCTGGGCTCAGGGCTTCATGGAGAAGGAGGGGTGACACTTACAGGTAATTTCAACCTCCCCAGCACACTGAGAGTGCAAACTAGCAAAACTTGCTAATTCTGCAGTACAAATGATGAAAACTAATTAAGTCAATAAAGCAGACAATGAACTACAGATTTTTTCCCTTAACTCTAACAAAATAAAATTTCAAGTTATTTTTAAAACTACGCTGGCACAGAAATACTGCAGTAATTAACAACGAATAATATGAGTTCCTGCCTTTCAACTGCACAGGGCCAGCTTATGGAAGTTATCTTACTTAAGCTAGCATGTCTCAGAATATAAAAAATTCTGAGGCGTGTTATATGGTATTATATATGTGTATACATATACAGGTGTATATGTATTTGTTGAAGCAAGGCGACCGCTTGCAAGTTTTTTCCTTTCCCCTGGAAGGCAGGTGACCTCATGAACGATTCTTCGCACTAGAGGGAGCTGCTTCCACATCACAAGACACCAACAGGCAAACGCGGATCCAAAGCCTGGATGCTTTGTGTTAACTCCAGAAGCAGGTCACTGTGTCCGCCCGAGCTCAGCTAACTCTCAGGCCTAGGGGAACATTCCACGTTCCTAGGCTTTGTAAAGGGGCCTTCAGAAGGCAAAAAGTAGTTGTCTATGAAGTCTCAGACTTCTTTTCTGCTTAGGTTAGTTTAGCAGGAAGCGTGGTTGCCTGTCCTTAAGTGTTGCTTTTACAATACTATATTAGCAAGACTATTTTAATGTTCCTGTGGCCAGATATTGCAAGGAACAGCATATAATGACAAAAACAAGAGACATTTGACAGTCACTGGTAATCACAGAAACGGACATCTTCCAAACTCCTCTCATTTTCTGCAGATCCCATTTTTGGGTCGCAGTGCCCACCAGGAGGTGTGCACTGAAAGCCATGCTGGAATGCAGACTCCTCTCCACAGTTACTACAGCAAGAAGTCGGAGACGCTCAGGACGAATCACTGTTTTCCACAGGCAATCCTGAGCGGTGTCAGTACCACAACACACGGCGCAGGAAGCAGGACAAACCCACACGCTAATTCCAGCAAGCCTGTGGGCTGCTGCTTTACTAAAGATGCTTTAACAGCGTATGGCCTTGTCACCCCATCAAGACACTCTGTGATTTCCAAACGTGTAATTGAGACATGTGATGGAATAAAAACAACTCCTATGCTTATTTCTCAACCTGTGGCCTAAGGCTTGCTTGTTGTGCGAGCAGTTTTCTCTGTCTCCTTCGGTAAAGGAGGTCAGAGGTAAAGATTTTTGAGACTCTGCAATTAAAACATTCTTCCCAGCTCTCCCTGCCACAGTGCTATACAGAAAGTGCCGTGCTGGGGGATCAGGGCACTCCTGTGTTCAGTTCTCCCTGAGGAACAGCCTGGAGAAGTGCTGTAAGCATGGAAGCCTGGCCTAGAGGCGGGAGGCAGGATGGAGAGCCACCCTTCCCACTGAGCTCACAAGAGGTGCCGCTCACACCAGAGGTTATTCCCACCGCATGTAAAATTCTCACAAAGCTGAAAATGTAAATACTAGGCCAGAGTAGGTATCGCAGAAACATCAGTGGTGCTGGCAAAAGACGCACAACCTGCACCCAGCTTGGAGCTGGGGTCACTACCTCTGCTCTCCGAAGCTTACAGTTTTAAGTGTTGTCACATTGTTGGTGGTAGCAGATAATAAACATAAAAATAATACAGTAAAAAAATGCTGCCTAAAAGCAGGTTTTTCAACTTGGCTGCTCCCAAGCCTCCGGTCTATGATCAAGCCCTGTTTCAAAGTCTAAGCCTCATGAAATGATCACTCCCCGAACGCCTGTAACAGCCGTTTGCCTCCTGCCACCCCTTTCCCTCACTGAGGGGGAACACGCTGGCTGCCACATTTACATGCTCCATTACTAAAATATCAGCTGCAACCACAAAGTTAAAGGCAGATCAAGTACCCTACCTCATAAGGACACAGCAGAGGACACCTTCTCCTGCACTGATTACACGGGCAGTTAGTTACTCACAATCCTGGTTTTTGCCCCATAGGTAGCAGTTAATGCTCTCCATC